CAAATGTTTGCAGTAAAACAGATAAAATGTCCAATAGAGATGGCTTTCCTCATACGTCACCTTTAAACTTTACTCGCTGCACTGTTTTACAGAGCCATTAAGAAGTATGGTTAAAAACTGCTTTCTGTTTCCACTCTGTTAGTTGTGAGTATTTATCCTTTATTTTTCTACTCATAATGCTGATAAATAAATGTAAAGACAGATTTATAAAAAAAGACAATAGTTAACTAAATTACACTAAGGTATCACAGGTGCAATAACAGAAAATTCATATAACTGAAGCAAAAGCACCAACAGAAATAAGATCTATGCAGTCCGGTGGTGGATACTAATGAATAAAGGAAAAAAATGACACAATTTCAACAGAATTATTTGAAATATTGATCAAGGTGCTAAACAGTATTGATTTAAAGCTAATGGACAATTCCAAATTCCAGTTTGGAATTTCAAATGTGTTCCTCAGAAACAAAACCCGCTGTTGTGATTTTTACATTTCATAAAATAAATTACAGTGTCATTACACTTTATTTTCAACTGGGATGGTCAACTCTTGGGGAAAGTCTATTCTCCTTTTGTCATCAGGAACACCATGACATAGTTATATTCCTTCCACCAGCTAGATTCCATGGCACTTTTATTAATGTCATGCACACACGGCCATGAAAACACTAAGCAGTCCAACAATTTAAAGAGTTGTATTTAATAAATGATTTATAAATTGTTTACAGGTTGAAGGTGAGAATTAAACCTTTTTGAGGCTGGTAGCATTTTGACCACTGACCTCAAGTAGAGCCAAAATGTCACTGAGACCATTTTCAAGCACCATTCTCTGCTGTAAGTCTGCCTACGACAAATGGACCTGAAGCAGACAGGTCACCAGCAGGCTGTTCAGTAAGTTGGGTACGTACCAACTTCTTCTCTGGCACTTAAGGATGTTTTGTCATGTTGCTCTTATCCCTGCTGGCAGTTTGTCTAAACTAAGAAGCCTTGCCTGTAACAGATGTCCAGGTGAGAGTTTTGCTTCTGCTCCTTTACAGTGTGGTGTGCAGGTATGTCCCTGCTTCTTCCTCTGCAGGCCTGATAAACTCCTCCTGACCTCCCTTGTCTTTCTGTCTTGTTGCTCATCCAACTTATGTCTCTTTTTTCCAGAGAGAATGGATGACCACACATCAGCTCGGCCACTGGAAATGTCCTGCACAGAGATTACCAAAGAGTCAAGTTCTTTATCTACAAGCACTTACTGCCTACCTTTTGATTCTTGTTCCTGGGAGGTAGAAAACCTGAAACAGTGTATATTGTACACTAGCTAGTTTGGGGTTTGTAAATCTCTTAATTCAAATACAGAATACAGATTAAATAATATTTCTAGGGCAATACTATGACTGCCTCATGAAAAAACAAAAAAAACCCTGAATGTTTTATGTTCTTAGGTATCTAGGTTTTCTAAACTTGGCAAGTTTGGTAACAGTTTTCTGGCCACACCAGTTGTTTTTTATAATCTCTCACTAGTCTTTTCCTTTTTCTTAAGCTAGATTTTCAGCTTTTTGTAGAGAAATCATTGGAACTGCAACAGTTAATGGCACCAAAGAACAACCCCTTTCTTTTAAAATATAGACTAATGTCTCAGAGTTTTTCTTCCTTCCCCCTGCATTTTGGCAGAAGTCTCTTGAGATGGTACAGTATGCTTTTACAGGACTTTAGTGCGCTGGAATAATGCTTTTAGGGATGGAGAAAAGATGGAGAAAACATTCTATTCATTCTCCCATCCATCCATCCATCCATCCATCCATCCATCCATCCATCCATCCATCCATCCATCCATCCATCCATCCATCCATCCCTTGGGTTATTTACCTATTAGCCTACTTTTAGATCTCCAGGGTTTTTTTAGATCTCTAGTTTGAGGGTACACTATTACTCAGAAGTGGCTGACCTTTAAGAAGCTGAAAGTAATTTAAATCAGCCAACAAAACTTGAATTTGGCACTGAATGAGCCATTGTGCATCTGCTTCTCAGTATCTTCAAAGATCAGTGGCAAGCACGACTTGTTTGCCACACAGATGCCATGCTGTTTGACTTAGCAGCAGTATAAACACATCACAATATGCAGTGAGAAGTACTATGTGGGATCTCATTATGTGGAACAAGAGGCAGGGACATTGCATCATCCCTAAGCAACCTGGTTCCACAGCGGGTGACAGGCCAAAGTGAACTCTGCTCACTCTGCTGTATTACAGGGACTTGATGAATCAAAGACAGGAATGTCACAGCACCGACAGTGACATGGGCTTCAGGAAAAGAGGCACACCATACGTGGCAGACAGTGAGGCAGAGCAGAACTTTTGTGGGATAGTTGCAGTCCTAGACACAGTGTAGGGCCACCAATGTATCTTTAAATTTATTTTCAATTCAGATAAGCATTTCTTCTTGTATGTGTCTGATTTGCCTCAATTTTTAGAAGATGCTTTCCTTCCCAGTCTTCTGGTGTTTTTGGAGCCTGGCCATTGTATTTACCTCTCTTCTAGCACTGGCTGTGCTCATTCTGTTGTGGCTGTTGTCATGTCATGATGCTTCTGCCCACTAATCAGACAGCGAAGGTGTTTCCTGTGGCTGTAAGCAGTCCCCTACACAGTGGGCTTCCAAGATTCATTGATAATATTACACTTAAAATCTTCTGGGAGACTAGTGGTTTTTATTTTTAAACACGCTTCTACTTGCCAGTTGCTGTTCTCACTTGCAGCACGAAGTAAGATGATTTGTATTTGGTGAGATGACAGTATGCAGCATTTGTCATTTTGCATGTCTTTAGACAACTCTCTTTTGTGTGCTTTTTAAAAGATTGAGAAACCCTCCCATTCCTTCATTTTCCCTCTACCTTAGAAAATATGTTTGCATTAACTATAATTAAGATCTAAGTGACTCCCCCAAAAGAGTCTTTAAGTATGCAGTTTAAATGCTTCACCATGTCAGAGGCACATTAACTGTGGTTCACGATAATTTCATTATTCTTCTTCATGCAGGGGTTTGCCATAGGCACTCAAGGTAAAATGTAGAAAGAATAGAAAGACAGTGTTGGTCAGAAGTTTTTCATTTATGTCCACTATGAAGACATTGGGGGAAAAAACCCCAAAACAAGTCAGTAACTTACAACTAATGAACTGTATGTTGCAACAACTAGACATCTAAATCTTTATTTAAAACACCTCGTATGATTTTTGGCTCTGGTTCAGAGGAGCTGAGCCCAGAAAGCAGCATTATGCTCATCTAATCTGAAACCCAGAATCGCAAAAGCCATAGAACCTTCTCTTAAAGTATCTGCCCTGAACACATTAAGTTTTACACAAGTTGTTCCAGCTTTTCTTTCCACACATGGCACAGCAACTGTGAGATCTGAAGGGCCCATGGTATTCCTAGGTAGCACCAGGACTCAGTGATTTGCAACAGTAAACTTGTAGAAGGACAACTCAGGCTGTGAATTAGGTCCCTGTTTGGGTAGTGTACTTAAAACTCAAAAAAAGCCTTGCAGGTTTGAGGTGCTGTGTCTTTATTTCTCTTAGTTTCATTTGCTCCTCACTATTATAAAATGGTTTTACAGGAGAGAAATAACAACCCAGACTGAAGATTTGGGTAGGAACTGTCTATTCATGTGGAGCAGAGAGCATTGAGGCAGCACTGGCCACAGGCAGTCTGTACACATTGCAGAGAAATAGCTTCCTTCATTATGTGAATCAGACACAGCCTTTTGCACAAGCTTTACAAAAATTAGTCTCTCTGAGCTCATCACTATTCCAAAATTAGGATGATCTGGATTAGCTCATTTGTTTCCCCTTGTGCTAATGCAGGGCACCAACTGTCACACTGGTCTTGGCTGGGCTGCACAATCAGTATCCTGCCCATCCTCAGCCATCCCAGTTTTGGTCCAGGTAATTGTGCTACTGTTTGAGATACCCTGTGCTGGGGAACTTTTCTTTGGAAGAAAGGTGAAAAAGGTCTTGCAGATATCTAAGGCAGGCCTCAGGTTGGCATACCTTAGTGTTATCAGAAAAGCAACATGGCCAAGAGGCTATGCAATGTGAGTGATGTGAAATAAGATCAGAAGCTAATTTCAAACAAAATAAACAAAAAAGAGAGAGAGAGACTGATGAAATATTATTTGTAGGAAATGGTAAGATTTTGAAGCTTATGAAGTATCCATACATATATTTTCAGTTCATGTGAATGAGTGTCACTTAACAATTCATATTTTAGAAAACTATGATTTGTGTATATGCTGAATAATAGCTCTTAGCATACTGCATCAAGCAACATTTTACTGAGATAACTGACTTTTCTATTAACATTTTTCCTGAACTTGAGTACATTGAAAATTACTCAATTTATGTGCGCCTAAAGTAGATCTCAAAGTCTTCCTTTCTCCTTTCCATTCTTCTCTATGTTGTATATGGTTTCCCACAGCTAAAAATAACAAGATGCAAAAAGCAGAACTAGAACTGCTGCAGTATTTTCTTTTGATTGGCCGCTTCATTTTCAAAGCACACTGAACTTGTGTTTTGGGCACCTTTTTTTCTTATTATGAAGATTATAAACATACTGAAGGATGCATGTTACACCTTTTATCTATGGGCAATTTGGCGTGTTTATTATATAGTTTTAGGTCCTTGCTAGCAGTTTACAGGCACACTGAAACACATACAAACCATGTCATTCATTGTAGATAATACAAGCAGGACCTGTGAGTTACACAGTGAGAGGTATATAGATATTCAAATACATATATTGATATTTGTGTATTTATATATAGGCAGCACAGTCGTAGCAGTCTGCAATTACATTCCCTGTGTTTACTGGCAGCAGGTCTACCTTCCCGAAGAACAACCCTTTTCTTACACCGTGTGAACAGAGCAGACACCAGCAAAGGCAGGTGACTCGCTGCCCCCAGGGCGGTGCCAATTTTCTAAGCCCATGCCACCCGCAGGCCGGCCACCCGCAACCCGCCCGTCTCACCGGTCCTTCCGACCTCGCCGAGGGACATGGGCGACAGCAGCAAATCCCCTTCCAGAAATGTGCTGCAAGTCGTCGGGCAGGCGGCTGGTCACCTCCAGGCCAGCGTCCAGCTTCTCCTTGTTGGCCTTGGTCAGTCTCTTGATCTTTACGAGGAGGTCGGGGCGGTCGTAGCGAAAATGCGGATTCCAGAAGTGGTGCAGGGGCCCATCGGCGTAGCTGGTATCACCCCCCGATGTGGCCGGCCTCGGCCTGGACACGACCGCGCTGATGGCCGGACTCACCATCAGCTTGTGAAACCCGTATAGGTTGAGCTGGCGGATGATGCTGCCGAAGTTTTTGGTTTTGAAAAGCTCCTCCTCCCCGGCGGCGCTGGGTCCCAAGCTCAGCAGCTCCTGCTCGAAGAGTCCCTGGTCGATGAATAGCCCTTCGCCGCGGGCGTCCCAGCGCACCGACTGCACGCACGGGCTGTTGACCAGCAGCCAGAGCTTCATGGGGAAGGTGCGGGGCCGGGGGATGACAGGGTGGGAGCGGGGCCAGGGGGCGGCGGAGGAGGGCCGGAAACCAGCCGGCAGCGGCAGCTTCGCCATCGCGCCGGGCGGCAACTGTCGCGACACGCGGCGGCGCGCGCCCAACGCCCCGGCGCCGACAACGGCCGCCGCGCGAGGGCGGTGCCGCCCCCGCCGTGCCCCGGCACGTGCCCGACGCGCGACGCGCAGCTCGTGCCGGCGTCGGGCCGACCCCGCGGGCTCCCTCAGCCTCGCGTCCCTCGGCACCCGGACCGCGCCTCGCACCCCCGGTGCCCTCAGAGCCCTCCGGTCCCCGCAGGGCCAGACTCACTGCCCTCAGCGTCACTGAAAGGTCGGGAAGAATACAACCCTCTAACATTTTAAGTTCAGTATTAGAAATCAGGCGTTACTTTATTTCAGTGCTGGGTGAACGGGGGCACCACCCCTCCTAACACATGCCAGCACAGTTCTAGAATTCTCATTCCTTTTCTCAGAACGTATTTACATATACAAGCAGTGCACGTTATAGTTGGGCATGTGTATACAACCCAACCGTCTCAAGAGGGTCTCAGGTGGTTATCTGGGGGATGGCTCCCACAGCACTTTATCCTTTCATGGCCGCAAGTCCACCTGAGGACATGACTTACAAGTTGGCTCATGGCCCGCTGTCTTGGTTAAGCAACGTCTCTCCTTGGTAAGAAAACTTTTTTATGCTTCATGAAACTTTAAACAATGGCTCTCAGTTTTTTGTCACAACTGAGATACTGCAAACAATATGTTTTTTGATTTATGTCATCAGTTTAATTGTGTCCCCTCAGCGCCCCCAGCCCACACCCTAATGTCCTCAGGTCTCTGCCCCTGCCATCCCTCAGTCCTTCAGCCTGTGCCATCCCCAGCTACCACAGACCCCTCATCCCCACCACTTCCTCTCAGTCCCCTCAGGCCCACCACCCCTCAGCTGCCCCCGGCCCCCACAGCCTCCTGTCCCTTCAGCAGGGTTCCTTCAGACCTGACGTCCCTAAGGAAGACTGTGTCCTGGTGCCACTAGTAGCTCCCATTCCTGTGAGTGACCTGGCAGAAGGGTAACTCATGGTGGATTGGGGGAGCCGGGCAGGAGGAGGTTCAGAGCTGATGGGACATGGAAAGCAACCCTGGTGCCAGTGAGAGGGCATCCCTGCCTGGCCATGGGCCATGGGCATGACAGACTGGCTGTGCTCACTCCAGAGACGTGCTGGGTGCTGCCTGGATCAATGGTAGCACAGACCATGAACCACACCTCAGACCCAAAGGTCACCTATGCCATGTGCATCAGAGTGTCACCTCTGTCTGGGGAACCCATAATGAGCAGTGCAGATCAGTGACTGCAGATCCTCAGTAGCAGCAGGAAAAAAAGAGGAATGCTACATGGCAGAACAAAGGGAATAGGAGTGATGTAGTCTCCCTAAAATGGGGTAAGGGACTTTTGCAAAAGCCTCAGACACTTATGCTCTTGACTCAAAATGTGAGAGGGAAGTGGTAAAGCACTGTTATGTTAATTAAAAGCAGCACAATTGCTGGAATGTGATATAGTGACCACCTGTCACCATGTGGTATATACTTGCTAGGTGCTGCACATTTAACTATCAAAAACTACACAGGACCCACAATTATGAAATGCTGAAGAAAGGCTCACAGACACACATTTTAATGGAATTGCTGTGGGTTGATAATCAGAATGTTTGGGGTTTTTTTGCCTTTATCCTCCATGAGGTCCTTAAATGGTTTTCTTTTGTAGTTGTTTTCTTTTTGGTTTTTTTTGCATACATGCATGCTGACTAACTTTGGGATTGAAGGTAAATTCATTCTATAATGGGGTATGAAGGAGACTGGTTTTCAGTCAGCAGTACATCAGAGAGAGACAGCTCAGCCATTATTTGTCAAAAGAGAAACAGTCTTGTAATATGTGGGCAATCTCTGGCTGAAATTCAATAGAACCAGATTATCCAGCCAAGAAGGTACTGAGGAGTAAAGGGATTAATCCTCTGGTGTAGTATTGTATAGACTTTGGGATCACTGTCATTGCAAATAGGTTGCTTTTCCAGCAAAAGAGGCCTATGTGCAAAATAGCATGAGTAGCGGAGACAGTACTCCATCACCTGCAAATATTGTGGCTGTCTGCTCCATTTAACCTTAGCTATGGATACCTGTGCTGGCTGTGTGATTAAAGCTTACAGAGAAATACTCACCAGTCTGCCTGGGCCAGCACTTTGACTCTTGCCCTGAAAAAAACTAATTGTTCCTTGGATTCACAGCAGGAAAATCAGACAAACCTGAATAAACACTGCTGACTTTGGTCAAGATTGCAGCCAGAGAGAGAGAGGGTGGAGGCTGAATAAACTCACAGACTGATGCTGGGAAAGCTGTGTATGATGATATTGCCTGCATGTGGAACAGGAAGTACAATGGCTCTGCATTTGGCAGGAGTGGGGTGGAGCAGCAGCCAAGACTAGATCTGGCAATTAAATTTTACTAGAAGTAGTCGCTCCTAGGTTACAAAGCAGGTGGCCTGCCACTGGGCCAGCAGAGATACAGCTTTGCTGTCCTTGCCCTAAGCCACATCACATAGCCGTTAGCAATTCAGAGTCCAGCCAGTGATCTCCGTGAAGTCGATCAGAGAGAGGAGTTCAACTTGCTTTGTAAGAAATAGGCCCAACAAATTGTCAGAGGTCACAAAACACTATTTTGTCATGCTGGAGTTTTCACATATGAGGGGCTTTTTATCTTTAACAAAATACTCAAATAAAATAAGTGAACCATGCAAGCTCAGTCTGCTCAGGCACAAGCTCATATTTTCTAATGTATTGAACCATCCAATGCAATAGTCTGGAAGCAATGTCTGAGACTTTTTCTACTGGCTAATCAAAAATCTCTGATTTGCAAACTATCTCAGACTGTTTACTCAGGCAAAAGCTTGAAAACTAATTGCACATTCCTGTGGTATAGCTATATTCAGATTTACTTGTGGGGGTCATTTATCTCCTCAACTAAAGCTGCAGAATCAGAACAGATGTCTGGAATTCTAAAGTCAGATTAACTTTACTTATACTGTGTTTCACAGCCTTTCAACAGTTCTTTCATCCCATGTGCCCTGATGCCCTTTCTTTGACAATTCACAAGCAAAATCAGAGTCACTGGTCTAGTGGCAGAAGGGTCCCAAAACCAACCTCCTTATTATAATGAGTAGTAACTCAGAGCTGTGCCACCCCTCAGTTTCTTCTATAAGACAGGTATGGTGGCATTTTCTTATTTCTTAAGGCATTTGAGTACAGGAAGAGGTAGAAATACTCAGATGTTGTTATGAGACTGCACAAGACAAGTATTTTCTTGCTGCTGTACCAGACAGAGTCTACATTTCAGGAATCTGCAAAACTCTGAAAATCCCCTACTTCCATGAAGAACTTCCACCCTGAAAATCTCTGTGGTTAGCCACATTTGCTCGAGATGAGGTAACATCTCTTTAAAGATATGATATTGACAAACTTCAAGAGGTCAAATTAATGCCTAGAGGAATCTAGAAGATCTAGATAAGGCTTTGATCTATCTAACTTTAATCATGGATTGCAAGATGTGGTTACTCACAAGCCACAAGTCCACAGTTTTCCACAGGCAGTTAAAGAATCTCCAAATAACCAGATTGAAGTTACCCACTCTAAGAGCCCACTCTGAGAGCAAAGCAAGCAAACGTTATATATATTCCCTGATAGGTCAAAAGGCAAATGTTGCATTGTCTGTGATAAGGGGTAGTCATTTACCTGAAACACAGTTCTGGAACAAGTAGAAATAGCCCAAAAACTCAATCATCTGATGCTTGAATAGAAAAGAAGAATAGAAGCAAGCAGAATTCTGTCTAGCTGCTTTGGTGAGCAATATTTGTTTTTAAAAACCTTTTTTTTTCAGGCCACAATAAGAGAAGAGAGCAATTAATGAGATGATTCCTGGTACTTTTTCCACTGTGAGTATCTGATTCATTGTACAGCTAGCAATGCTTCATTGAGCACCAGAAAATACATTTCTGAAGGTGGGGGAGGGCAGTATCTATTGTCAAAGATGTAATTTCAAGTGCCACCTGTTCCAACTATATGCACTAGAAATGCTTCCTTGCGGTGCTGCAAGTGGGCCTTAATCTTTCACTAATCATTCTAGTGTGATTTAGAGCAGGATTTTTCCTTTTCTTCTATTTTGAATAATTTGTTTGCCATGTAGTAGTATACTTACTTGCCTTCCTTGCTTCTTGGTAAAATTGGAAATGCCACTTTTCCGTGAATTTTTAATATTGGGAGACCCTTGAAGCCCAATGCAACTTAAAACTGCTCTGACAACAACCAGAAGCTATGCACCTCAGCCAATTTATTGTATATAATTATAACTTCTGCAAAACCTCATACTGCTATTTGAAAATTGATTTTATGCTGTTCCTGTCTACTCGAGTTGGCATTTAATGAGTCAGTGCACCTCCTTCTTTATACAAAAAATCTTGGAGAGCATGAACCTGGTGTAAAGTTACCAGATTTGCAGAAAGAGAAGGCCACACTGCTTTTCTGATTACAGATATATTTATTTTTACTTTATTTTTGCTAATTCTGTGTCCACACCCTTCTGAGAATATCATTACATTTCAACTATAGTTTTATGTGAGTAAGACTTAAAGAGAATGAGCTACATAAATAAAACAGTGAAGAAAAGGTTGTGATGACACATGAATTCTGATGCTTTAGATTTCAACCATAACAACAAGAAGACTGAAATTATCAGATCATCATAACCTCAGCAAAATAGTTTGCTTTCCAGACATCTGTATTAAAAAGCTGCAATTTGCTTTCAGCACAAAAGAACTTAATCCTATAAACACATGCAAGTGTAATGCCACCCATGCACCTTCCAGGTATAAACTTGAAGTCAGCTGAAGCTGACTGAAGTCAATGGCAGTAGAGTTAACTGATGATGTTGTTGGACACAAAAAATTCAATATATCCACACTGTAGCATCGAACTTTTCACTTGCATCCTATGTGAGTCCTTCCATTAATATTAAAAAAATCCCCA